GTATTTGGTATGTTCGCCACCTTGAGTTATTTATTATTATTATTGTTATTGTTATTACAATAACAATGATGATGATGATGATGGTGATGATGGCGGGATTTTAAAAAATCTAAGAGAGAGAGAGAGAGACAACCCTACCTCGATTTTGTAAGATGGGACCAAGACAAACATGGACAGGCTTTCAAGATTCTGTCATTCTACAGAGTATTCCCAGAATCCCTCCGGTTCCCGTTTCTTGACCTGGCCTATTTTCAAGGGCTGATAGCAATGATGGGAGTTGTGATTAAACACATCTGGTTGCAGAAAACTGAGTACAGAGGCCATACACAGAAAAAGGAGTAACAAACTTGGTTGCCACTTCTGTGATCAAGATTGCTCCTGAAGTAGCTTTTCCGGAAAAGAGATGAGGGAGGCTGTGGGATGTCTAGTTCCAGTTCTAAGCATGTTGAAACCCATAACTGGACGGTGCATTGGTGCAAAATGGAGAACAAAATCTGAAGAAAAGCAAAAAAGACCCCCACCCGTGAGAAGGGAAAAGAGTGGGCTACACCATATCACATTTTCCTCACACCTTTTTAATGCCTTGTTCAAATGCTTGCTTGGCCAAAGGACCAGGCCCATCCACAGTACGGCCATCGTCATCCGGGCCCCAACTGGCGCTGTAGATGTGAATATATTCTGGTTTGGCACCAATCGCCTTGGCTTCCACCACATCCGTCACATCACCGTCTAGCATGCGGATGCCTGCAAAGGAACCCACCCAGAGGTTTAAAAAGAAAGAACAATTTGGTTGTGACAGCTCTTTGTACAGGTACCCAAAGACAGCAATCAAAGGCTTTAGTTCAAGGTGCTGCCTGGAGCACGAATGGCTGTCTGCAGAGGGACTGGCCGCTGAGAAGACAGCTAGGACAGAAGCAATCCAAATCAAAATGAATTCTGAACCAGCTGGTGCTTCCGCATTATCTTCAGGAACGGCCTCAGATAGAAACCATTATGATAGTGCAACTGGAAGGTTACCAAGCCATGGATACTCATGTTTGGCCAACTCCACAGCTGCCCTGTAATGAGATGGAGCTGTCCCTAAGAGCGAAGGCTTGTTTTGTGCATAGTTCTGGCACACCACAGGCAACACCTTGCAGAATAAAGAAAGACAGGGGGAGAACACATTAGAAGCCAACAGGCAGATGGAACATTTGCACAGCGACGCATAAGTTGGTTATGGAAATATATTGGGTGCATTACTCTTCTCTGATGAGCATGAGCACCAGTCCAGCAGCTAGCCAACACGGCTTTGCTGGAAGTGAGTAGGCAAGGGCATGGTCCACCAGAAAGCTGGCTGGGTCTCCTCAAAACGAATGGAATCCAGGCAACAGCTGTGCCTGCTGGATCAGGGCCAACATCCTCCTTGAATTTGTGAGATTTTTTTTTTTTAAGAGAGAAAAATGCTGCCAAACTGGCAGACACTGTAATATTAAAAAGAAAGTGCTTAGCCTTGAATGAATGAATAAATGAATGAATATACATGAAACAGTCTCGAAAAATTCTAGGAGCTTGATTCATTCTTTCTGTAAAGAGGAAGGACTGATTATTTATCACAGTTTGGAGGCTTGCCATGGGTGGCAGCTCTTTTAGGAGAAAGGGCAGCCAAGGGTAATCTTAGTGCATAATATGGTTAAGTACAAAGGCCTCTGCTTATTTTAAAAGATTTTGTTTTTCTTTCCACCTATATTTTTCCTTAAGGAACAAAAAATCAAGAGAAAAAGTTAATTACAGCTGCAGCTTTACTGTAGATTGCCGTTTTTTAAAAAACCCTCCTGAACATTATCCTCTGATAGCACAGAAGGAATCTAGGTGGTTTAGCAAAAAAATCCCCTTCCCCTGAGCTGAATTCAAACCAGCCTTTTGCAGCAGGCTTATTTCTATAATTGCTACTAGAAGTTCAAGGCCAGACTCTGCTTTGCTCCTGAGATAATTGGTTGGGTGAAAAGAAAGATACCAGACAGTTTCAACTCACTAAGCACAAACACATCTACATTCACCCATTAGGAAATATTGGAAAAATAAAGCTGCCAAAGCTTTAACTTTGTTTAACTTGTTGCCAAAGTTGTAGTCTGCAATGGGAAGATTTGATTATACTTCATTTAATAAAGGGCTCACGATCTCACAGGGATGGAAAAACTGGAAAAGCTTGTAGGAAACCAAAACATAGGCTAAATGGAAGGGGAAGTAGGATTTTGATCCAAAAAAAGCTTTTCCACCACTTGAGTTAAGGTAGAACTATAGTAGTACACACATTTGGTCTGTTAATAATACACTAGTTTGGAGGGGACTGGTTGCATGAGAAGACCTTTGTTAACAAAGAACCCCAATATTGAGATTCCATGTTAGGCTTTGGGAAACAACACTTCTATAGAATTTTAGCATAATGTCTATCCCAGAAACCAAATTTTGGAATTCATGGTTAACCACGCTGTTCAAAAACATGCAGAACCCATTACAGCTAATTCTCCTTCCAGTTGAGCTTAGCTCCCAGTGATTTCAAGGACACATCCATGCAGTTTTCTCAGCAACCATGTAGAATTGGTTTGCAACTGTTTTCCTCTAGGATGTTTCCTGACTTCCCTGTCTATCTACAGCCCTGGTATTTCTTGATAGTCTCTCATCCGAGGGTTATCCAGGTCTGATCCTTAGTTTTTGGAGATCAGCCAAGGTTGTCCAGGTACAGCCTCTAAAGTGTGCAAAGCCCACTCAGCCAGAGTTGTAGTAGTCTTTACTGCAGTCACTGACCAGCATTCCGATTGAATTAACCAACAATTTAAAATAAATTAAAGCATTTTTATTTCAAATACAATAAAAACAAATACAATTATGACTAAGTCACCAAGCAGAGACAAAAATGCAATAACCCTCCACCAAAAGCAACTTGCAAATAGGAGTTGAGAGAAAGCTACAGTTAAGAATCACTGCCTTTTTTATTGATATGCAAAGAGTTGTGGATCTGGAAGCATCCTTGATTGATAATTACCAGCAGAAAAGGTAGAATCTCATTCAAATTAAGCTTGATTCCTCATCTGAAAATAGAGTACTTGCTGGAATTCTTGTGCTGTAACCTTAACCTTCCTTCTAATAAATACTATTAATCAGAGCTCAGATTCTTATTCTTTGAATTAACTGTTTCCAGACTAGATGGTAAGGAGGAAAGTCTAACAAGGGGAAGAGTTAACTTCTTCCTTCTCCTTTCATTCCATAGAGTTGATCAGATTCAGAATACCTCATGTTCTTTACTTCACTTTCTCTAACACAGCCCTCCAATACCCAAAGGCCATGTTCACGTTGCACACTAAATCTAGGTTTATTTAACCATTGTTGACATCTTAACTGGGTCGAGTTCACAAAGCACATTAACAAAGCAGCTATTTTGTGCAATTGATTGATTGATTATGTGCTATGAAGTCATTGTCGACTCTTAGCAACCACATAGATAAATTTTCTCCATGGTGATTTCTCCCTAACCTGGTCTTTCAGGTCTTCTAATGGGCCACTCATCACCACTGTAACTGCATTATATTAAATAAATACAATTACAGTGGTACCTCTACTTACGAACTTAATCCGTTCTGTGACTCTGATCGCAAGTC